GTGTTTCTTCTGGGGATAAGTTCCCCTTGACCATCAGTCCTGCCACACAGATCAGGGATGTGAGTGAAGATGGAGCCCCCCAATCCATACAGCTCTGTACAGAAACTGGAATGTTCAGATGGGAAAGCACTAGTCCTGCAAACACGGGGCATCAGGCTCAATCTCCAGCTCCCAAAAAGAGAACTGAGAATGCAAAGGAACCAGAGACTGTGGAGGAGACTTCGTGGGATCTAACGAGCTACTCCAGACCCAAGCTTCTTAAACTGGTACAACTAAATATGGCAAACATCAATTCAAAATGCAGCCTAAAATGAGTTCAAGGTGTTTCTGGATGGTGTTGCCTTGTGAGACTTCACTGCAGCCTTGGTTCTGAACACGAGCACGCATGCTTTACTCTGCACCTGCCACCACCACACACTGCACACTGCCTCAAACACCTGGGGTCTGACTCAGTCCTACTGCACATTGTGAATCGCAGCATTCTTAGTGGACACACAAAGTTTTCTGCTCTCAAAGGAACAACGGTTTAGTTACAGAAAACAAGGAATGTGTTTCTGTACGTGTGTGCACATAAGATGCACTTATGTGAGCACGCACGGGGGTAGGGGTGGGGCTAGAGGACAGTCTCCAGTGTCACTCCTCAGGGGCTGTCCACCTTAATCTTTTTGAAACAGGGTCTCACTGTGTGGCTGGCCTCAAACTCACAGAGATCCACCTGCCTCAGCATTCCAAGAGCTGGGATTAGAGGCCACCATATTTGGCTACCTTAGTTTTTGAGACAGGGTCTTTTATTAGCTTGGGGCTGAACGATTTGGCTAAGCTGGCTACAGGCCAGTGAGCTCCAGGGTGTTACAGGTGTGTGGTGCCACGCCCAGCTTTTCTGTGAGTTTGGGGTCACACTCAGCTCTTCCCGGTACTGCAAGCACTTCACCACCTGAGTTGTCTCTCCAACCCTGTCCTCCCTCATCGTGTATCAAATTAACTTTGGGTTGTATTCACGTTTGATTTAAAAAATTGTTGTTTGGGTTGCTGACTTCAAGTTTCACTTAAAAAAAAAATCAAGGTAGGCATGCTCACACATGTCCCTTTAATCCCAGCACTTGGAAGGCAGAGGTAGGCAGCCCTCTGAGTTTGATGCCAGCCTCACCTACACAGTGAGTTCCAGACTAGCCAGTCTAGAAAATATGTAATAAATAAAAAATAAGCAAATTTCCTTATGATTTGCTAGGAGCAAATGTTTGATTTTTTTTTTTTTAAAGTCCTCAGGTTAAAAGGGCCACGAATGGAAAGTTTTAGAAGCCCTTCACTAAGTAAGCAGAGCTCCTGGGGTTCTGAGTTTTGAGCTTCTGAGTGGAGAGGAAAGAAAACTGGGTACAAATACAAAAGTCAGCAGAAATGGAAGCAAAGAGATGGGGAAACTGTGAATCTACATGTCATCCCTCATCCTTCCCTATCCCTCTCCCCCTAGAAAAGGAAAAAGCCTGAACTCAGCGGATACACTGGGCCTGGTCACCTCCTTATCCAAATGCCTCCCTTGGAACCCTTCCTCTCCCTCCCAGGCTCATACCCGCATGGCAGAAACAGCCATCTGGGCAGGACTGTATGACTGTATGCTGTATAAAATGGACATGGAGGACCTACAGCAAAGTGACTGCTGAGCGCGTGAAAACAAGATGGGACAGACATGCAGGGTTCCTGCTTCATGAGTCTGCCAGACATTCTGCAGGACACAGAGAAAAATGACTGACAAACAAACTGTCAGTACAGGCAGACAGTTTAAAATTTCCTGCTTTGCTGAGAAGTCTGCCAGAAAACACCTCCATCAGCTGCCTTGAGGAGCTGAGCCCATCTGTACCTGATAAACAAGCCGACCTCATTATTCAAGGGCTCCTCTCCCAGCCTTCATCCCTTTTCCCTAGGAAAGGGCCAAAGGAAAGGGGCAAACCCTGGCCTGCTTACCTCTCTCTGGGGAGCCAGTGCTGAGACCACTGCCTTGTAAATGGGATGAGGGAAGCTCATGGGCCCTGAAAAGACTAGACGCCATGGCTAAGGGAACTTTAGTTTTATGGACAGCAGGGGGAAGGCGTGGCACTTGAGGAGCTTCCTCCCAAGATGAGACAGTCCGAGAATCTAGCAGTTGGAAAGAGACATAAGAGCGAACATGGGACAGCAAAAACCCTAACAAGGCTGGGCATAGCTCAGCTCACAGTCAGTGGCTCAGAGGTGCTGGGCTCAGTCCCAGCACAAATAAAAATAGGCATGGTGGCACACACCTGCACTCTCAGTGCCTGGGAAGTAAAGGCAAGGTGATCACAGTCCATGGTCACCTCTGACTAGTGAGATCCTGTCCCAGAAAGAAAATGACAACCCTTCCTCCAATAAAATTTTCTATGTCATGGTTATTATGTAGTAAAAGAATAGTAAGTATGATACTTCAATGATCACAATGTACTATAGCATAATTACCTGGACATTTAAATGAATACTTTTAACTTTAGCTGTATTAATTTAGCTGTTACTAATACATTGCAAAGTACCAGAACTAACTGTTTCTAACATTACCAGGTAAAGTATAAATTAACTTAGAGATGTAATCCAACAAGTCAGGCATTGAGACTCACCCCTATTAACCCAGTATTTGGGGGACTAGGGGAGGCTAGTTCTGTGAGTTCATCCTGATTTACACAGCAAGTTTGAGGCCAGTCTAGACTAAAGAATGAGATCCTGTCACAAAAAGCATACAAACAACAGCAAAAAAAAAAAAAAAATGTAATCCAAATTCAAATACATATATACATTAAGCTACTGTGACCTTGTTTCTAATTCAGACTTGTTTTATATGTTAAGACAGGTAAAGTCTTTAGTAGTTAATGGAACAGAATCAAGTTCTACCTCCAAGCTCCTACTTCATCCTAGATTGCCAATTCCCACCTCTTCTAGGCCTAGCTCTAACCTTCTTCAGAGTTGGGACTCACCAGACTTAGGGGGCAACAGGTCAACAGAGGGGTTTTCACTGCTCTGTGGCACTGTCTCCAGCAGCTGGGGAAATAAGACAGGATGTGAAACCTAGGGTCTGAGGGAACAGAGGTGTCTGAGGCTAGGGTCAGTGGCCTAAGTTCCAGAGGGGAATTGTGGACTAAGAATGAGATAAATAACAGCTGGGATAAATAACTAGACCTGAAAGGTAAAGGGGCTGGGGAGCTGGCTCAGTGATTGAAGTTCATGTTGAGCAAGCATGGGGACCTGAGTTCAATTCCCAACATCCAAAGAAAAGCTAGGCACAACTAGGAATGGCAGTACATGCCTTTAGTCTCAGCACAGGGAGGCAAGCAGATCTCTGTGGGTTTGAGGCTGCCTGGTCTACATAGTAAGTCACAGGCCAGCCAGGGTCACATAGTAAGGACCTGTCTTCCTTTTTTCTTGTTTTTCAGAGACAGGGGTTCTCTGTGTAGCCCTGGCTATCCTGAAGCTCAACTCACTCTGTAGACCAGGCTGGCCTTGAACTCAGAGATCCACCTGCCTTTTGCCTCCCAAGTGCAGGGATTAAAGGTGGACTTTTTTTTTTATGTTAGAAGTCATTTCAGAGGACTTGTTTCTTATAGTGGAGATGGTGGGACCTGCTACCAGTTTCTATAGTATCCAGAATGATCCAATCCCCATGATACTAGGATATACTTCAAACCTTCCACCAGTGTGGGACCCTGGGATCCTTGGGAGGGCCAGGACATACTGGGTGATTAACAGAGGGGCATGTAGCTTGGTTTGGGGGTGAACCAGCTGATACCCCAAGCTCATAGAACCCTTTGTCCACATAGGGAGATCCTGGAGTGACAGGGCCACCGTTTCTCTGTGTAGCCCTGGATATCCTGGAACTCACTTTGTGAATTCACAGAGATTCACCTGCCTCTGCTTCCCAAACCCTGGGATTAAAGGCATGTGCTACCATGCAAGGCTCAGGCCCCATCTTAAACAACAACAAAAGCCAGGTGTGGTGTAGGGTGGAGCAATTTTGCAACCTCAGCACTTAGGAGGGAGGAAGAGGGAGACAGGCTAGTCCTGGGGCTTGCTGGTCAGTCACTGCAGCCAATCAGTAAACTCTAGGTTCAGTCGGGATACTGTCTCAATAAAAGAAAAAAGAAAAACAAAAAACAAATGGGGTTGGGACCCATAGAATAAAACAGCTGACACAGGCTTCCAGTTCACACACTTCATGAGCACAAATGTACAAAGGCAAGGAAGCCAGTCAGGCATAGTGACAAGCCTGTGGTGCCTGCACTTGGAGACTGAGCAGGAGGAACAGTGTTTGGACTGGACCCTAATCTAGAGCGAATGAGTCAGTAAGAAACAAAGATGGAGCTCTGGGTAGTTCTTACCTGCTGCAAAAAATTCTTAAGGCCTTCCAGCTGAGAAGCAGGTGGCAGCCCTGGTTTTAGGGAGCCATCACCATCAGATCCAGGGTCTTCCTCAGGAAATGGTCGCTCTGCCCTGTGGTCAGCAGTGAAGGCCTCCAATACAGAGAAGGGTCCAGCTGTAAAGCGAGACAGGTCCCTTGGCATGCGTGTGTGCAGTATGTGGAAGAAGTCTCTCCATAAACAAACCTACCAAGTGCTCCCAAAGAAAAACCACTATCAAATGGAATAGTCGGGGCTGGAGAGACGGCTCAGTGGTTAACAGCACTTACTGCTCTTCCAGAGGACCTGAGTTCAAGTCCTAGCATCCACGTGACAGCTCCAGATTGAGGAGATCCAACACCCTCTTCTGGGCTCCACAGGCACTGCATACATGTGGTCCACAGACATATAAGCAGGCAAAATATCCATACACATAAATTAAAAAAATATTTAAAACAAATAATGTAAGAGGGACATCACAAAGCCAGGTGGTGGTTGCACACACCTTTAATCCCAGCACTCGGGAGGCAGAGGCAAGAGGATCTCTGTGAGTTCGAGACCAGCCTGGTCTACAGAGAAAGTTCCAGGACAGGTTCCAAAGCTACAGAGAAACCCTGTCTTGAAAAACCAA